TAGCAATTTTCGTGCAGAGAATTGCGGTATAAATTAATTGGGCCATGGTTGGCCTATATATTATGATTCAATCACCGCGCTCAGTTTCAATTAATTAAAGTGTACAAAAAGCACTTTCAGATTAAAGTTAAAACTAAACCACATAATGACGCCAATAATGGGTGCTCTAAACCCTAGTCTAATGCAATAACAAGGAAAAATCTGTTATAGTTTTCCGTGCCGCTCTTTAAATTAAGGTTAATAGATATCATGTGATCTTGTCCATTATCCCCACGGGAATCTTACTTTATAGTTATCTCACCTTTGATTTAAAGATGTTATGATGTTAGGTGACCTTTAATTTGAACCAGGTTGTACAAACATTCACTAAAGTTGCAAATTTTAGTTAATTATTTCCCAGTTACCTCCAATCTTATCAAACTGAACCATCATCCTTCGGTGTATGAGAATAATTTTCGTTTGGATAATCTTCATTTTCCTCTTAATTACTTAATTGTTCTCCAAAATTAGTAATTATAATTAAATTTAAAATAACGTAAATGCACAAAAATTATTACAACGAGTATATATTATTTTTATTTATTAAAAATATAAACGTTAATTTTAATTAAATATTTTTAAACAATAAATTTTATTAAAAAATAGTATAATACTCTAATCTGTATAACATTCAGTTTAAATCGGATAAAAAATAATTCAGATACATTTTTTTATTATTGTGTCATGTATAAATACTGAAAAGAAAAGTTTACATCTCATTTTAAGGTAAAGCGAGTGAATGAAAAAAAAGGTAAAAAAAAAGAGTGTGAAAAATAATATAATAGAAAATAAAGAAAAAAAATATGCAAAAAATATATCTAAAAAAGAATTAATAAATATCATACGAAATACTATATATGTGTCATCCTGCAGGTAAAGCTTAATGAGATTATCTTCAAGACTGGTTTGATAAAATTTAGATGTTAGAGATGGTTTTTGGGTGTATTCAATATATAATTATATAAAAAATAGCTAAATTATCTCTTATAAAGTTTCATCAAGACAAAGGATAAGGAGAAATTTTAAAATTTCAACGGTTAAGTTAGTCTTAAATAACTCATTATTTTAGTAAGATCTTATAAATGATATTGGCAAATTTATAAACATATTTTAAGTTATATTTAAGACTTTTACAACAATGTTTGAATGTTTAATACAAATTATTCATGTATAATAATACCTACGAGCAAATTAGTGTTAAACAACCGAATTGTATTAAATGAGTCAAACTCTATAACTTCTTTGAATAATATAAAGAAAGCTAATAAAAAAATTATATGAATTGATGTAGTTATATATGAATTAAAGTACATAATTATTTTAAAATTTACAACATGAGGACCTTGAGAGAGATCCCCTATTTTAGTATTATTCCTATTTAAAGATACTAAACTATAGAGTTTTAATATGATCTATTGGACTAGTACTTATTCTAACAGGAATCACTTGGTTCTTCAAACAATTTTTTTTAAGTCGACACATGTTTTTAGAAAAACAAGAGATTGATATAGTTTGGACCCTTCCCTCTGCACGTGTGGATGAAATGTAACATTAAGTGCATTTATTCTTCATGAAACACATCTAAGGCTGGGTGTGCATGGAAGAGTGTTTTAGAATAATGACAGTCAATGGAGGTTGTGGTTTACAACCGGGCGGAGTCTAACTTAAGCATAACAACAAAATTTGCCAATGAAGAGTGTCGTGAATCTCACCATAGTGGTCCTGCAGTACATGAAATTAGAAGGCTAAGAAATAGACGATGGGATCTTCATATATCTCGTTGTATATAGAGAAAGAAATCAAGTAGCATCTTATTACTATGTTTAAGTTAGAATACTTTTTATAAAAGTTCTCCTCCTGTTAAATAGTTTTTAAGAGTAAGTTAACTCAATTTTTTAATATGTTCGTGATATTGGCCTACATATACCCCGTCCTTGGAGTTATTCTCTCCATGTTATAAAACAAAAGTGTACTCTTTTAATATATTAGACATAAAAAATGCTTACACGTTATTAGTATAATTTTGCATGATTATGGAATATGTATGATCAATAAGTGAAGTATTAATGAAACTTAACCTTATAAAATTTTCTGCTCTAACAACTTATATCTTGGAGTAAATAATATAATAAATTACTTAATATTTTAAATTTTCATTGCAAGATTTTTTTCTATCTTACTGAATTAATCGTGTCAAGAGAAGCTTGTGTAAAATAAATAAAGTAGACTTGTGTAGATTCTTAAATTACTATTTTAGTATAATTATTGTGAAAAAAAAGTAAAAGCAATCGACCATAAAAACATAATTTTCAATGTACATATACAATATATATATATATATAAAGGTGAATACTGATTGAAAAATATTATTAAATATTTCCATTATAATTTCAATACATTTTTTACACGACTGTCAAAAATAAATAAAAACCTTTCATTTTAAGCTGATTTTAGTGAATGTGTTTGATAAGACGCAAGTATAAATAAAAGTAATTTTAAGATTCTCTCATCTCAATTAACAAGCACCAAATTCACTTATGTAACAATAGTCAAATTTGAGTTGTGATTCGTATGTGAAGGTAAAAAGCAAGTGATCGAGGAGAGATTTGATTTTCTTTATAAGCAAGCGAGGAGAGATTTGTCTGTATAGATTTGCTTACATTACCTCTACCCACTGGAGTAACTGGTCGATGGACTTGGTTTCCTTTTTGTCAATTTCTTACAACATATTTATTTATTTATCATGAATTTGTCGTCTTATACTTTGTAACTGATCTGCATGCAATTCATGGTACTTTGTGTCTGTCCACACATGAGAGAATGCATGGAATGGGCCCCTGGAAACTGGAGCCATCCAAAAACGTACAGCACACAACAAGGTTCAGACCAAATTAAAGAGGGGCAAAGAAACTAACAGGAATTTTTTTTTTATATATATATAAGTTCTCAAGAAAATAAAGGAGATAGAAGAAAAGCTCACTTTGATTTTCGTGGAAAATGTGATGAGCTAATGCCTGAGGTAAAGGACACATTCCTTTTCCTTCCCTTGGGTTTGCGGGCTTGGTTTAACTTTAACACCCGTTCCCCACTTACCCACATGCACAAGTTTTTTAAGGCATTTAATTTGATAAAAAAAACAGTACTAATATCTAAATTATATGTATGCATATGTATAATTGATTAAAATATTGGATGCAAGAAGAAAAATTAATTATTACAAAGTTGTAACTTAATTAATTTATAAAATGCGACTTAATTAATAAACATAAATTCTAATGCAGCGACGGAAAAGCTTAAAATCACTAAAAAGTATTGATAGAAGAAAAAAGAGTCTCTTGGTCTTAAGTTAATTATATTTTTTCTTTTGTTTCAGTAAGTCTTAAATCAATTGTCTTAAATCAATTATTTTTATGAATAAGAAAAGAGAAAGTTATATAAACTTTCAGATGGGCATAAAAGTACCGAAAAAAATGATTTGCATGAAGGATGGATGATATACAAAGGAGACATGTTTTGCTGGCGATTGATCTATGTGACCCACGTGTATGTAAACGCGCATTGCAACATGAGTATCTCAACCGTATTTGATTTTATTCTACATTTAATTTCCAAACTTACCTCACAAGCATAGATGTTATGGTCCTAAATTAAATGTTCATGTGTGTCATGTCCCCCCGCTCTCAACTCCTACACTTTGTTCCGTTTCGTCATTTCAAGATTTATTGTCTTCAGTTAAGTGCGTAGCACTGGAATGGAAATATGAACTGCAAGAAAATAAAACACCTCCCCCCAACCCCCAACATAAAGAAGGGAGTCTATTAGAAATTTAATATATAGCAAACTCAATTTTATGAGTACATTTCAGGTTATTTTCATGATTTTTTGCAATATAGTTTTGCACACCATTTTTGGTCAGCAATATGTGGTTGGCTTCTCATATAAAATTTACTTGTAGCAGGGCAAGAATTAAAAACATATTGCTATTGAAGTCTAATTTAAGTCTGACTAAAATTAAACATTAATTTGAATTAGTATCACACAGAATAAATGTTTTCTACCTGCGGACTGCGGTCTTAGGAAAATTAAATGTAAGATGCATTGCCTAAAGAATTAAAAATAAATTGAAGGTCAAAGATTTATAAGTATAAAAATGTTATAATAAAAGGCAACATTAGTCTAATGTTATTAATACACTTTACTGCTATTTCTAATAAAAAAACAATTTACATAGTAATCAGTAAACATTAAACGTTATTTTAAAAAAGTACTTTCATTCTCGATATTACAATTTGTTCTTTGGCATATAAAGTTAGAGCTATATTATTTACATAATATTTTTTATATTTCCTTTTATCGGATTAATAGTTTTTGTAGCAAGGAAGAAAGTGTGCATCGGAATTTTGACGAGGATAAACGCCAAATCCTCGTGTGCTCGGCATGGTGACGAGAGAGAAACAGGATAATGGTGGGGCGTGGCATTTTAGCGTTTGAGCTTAAGGAGGAAGGATATATCCGTAATTGGGTTTAGAACACAATTATTTTGCTTAAGACCGGTTCTCCACCAAACGGAATTCTGCGTTTCAATGCAAATATATGATGATTGTTTCATTGTAACCGCATGATTGTTGTTTTCTACTGCAAAATTACTTTGGGGTGTAATCGCAATTCCCAGCCTCCGTCACTCTTCTCATTTTGTCCGAACCTTAATTCCCTTCCAACAACTCCATCTCCCATCAGTTTTCATGAGGTGTCGCTCATCTATTAGGCCTTGCTTCGGCGCAGCTAAAAACCCCACTGCTTCCATATAACGGCGCCGTCAAATTTCCCGTTTCTAGATTCCCCGTCACTGTTAACAGAGACTGGGCCACCACCACGATGCACAGCACACACCCTTGCCAGCACCACTAACAAAAAGCAATTACCCAATCCCAACCGTTGAACCCCTTTCGTCATTATCACAATTTTCGTCGTCTCCGTACTACACGCGCGCACCAACTTACGCTCACGCCACACTTCCTTCTCCCTTCCCCCTCTTTCTCTCTCTTGCGTTAACAAAATCCCAAAAAACACACACCACATCAACACCTGAAAAGGAAGGGTGAGGTGTGTGTTTCTGTGTGGAATCGCAAGAGCACGTACTTGAAGAGAGTGCACATCAATGGAGATAGCTCAGGTCGGTGTCAGGACTCGAGCTCGACCAGCATTATCCATGGAAGCTGACAGTTCAGCTGCACGAACACCGAAGAGAAGGAGGGTTAACAAAAGTAAGCAAGAGCCAAAAATCTCAACACCCGCCAAGAGTCCGAGAAGGAGTTCTTCCGTCGTCAAACCAGAGACGGAGACGGCGGAACGCTGCCTCAGCCCTACCTCCGATGAAATTCCGGCGTCTTGCTGTTCCAGCAACGGATCCGTTGAACTCGATGAGGAGAGGATCAAACTGTTAGATCTGGAGGTAATAGATAACTATTAAAGACTTGTTTCGTTTTCTAAATTCTCTGAACTGAACAATTTATTGCCGATATAGATTTTGTTGAACCTCCGTTTTGTTGCTCTCTTTAATTAATTTCCACTTTACATCCTTTCGTTCATTCATTTTCTTTCATAGAAATTAATGCACCGCTTTCAACGTTTCTTTACAGGTGGAGAGCGCGCAGGTTGAAATGTCGACGTGCAATGGCGGTGAAGAAATTGAGAGGTTTTTGAATTGAACGGATTTATAATATTTCTTTTACCTGTTTAATTTTAATTTGAAATTGCTTGAAGCTAGTTCCTCATAGCATTTTCTCTTTTCGAAATTTTGAATAATTTAAGTCGTTTGAGTTCGAAAAGAGCATGAAATAAATGGTGCCTCACCTGCCATAATTTCTTCCGCTCAAAATCCTAATTCATGCTCTCGAATGTATATAATAAACGTGCGTCCACAATCTATCTACAATTCTGAACCGTAATAAATTCTTCGTTCGAAGATCTAATTCATTCGTGTCCGCCGTCGTTGGTGCTGCGCAGGAAAGAAATGAGCCATTCGAGCGAGCTTCGAGAAAATTCGCAGGAGCTGGATTCAATGGAGACCGATTCTCGCCTTCCCATAACAACGGCGCAAAATATGCCTTCTGAGTTGGAGCTAGAAGAATTCTTTGCTACCGCCGAGAAAGACATTCACAAACGGTTTCAAGACAAGTGAGTGAAATCAACAGGAATTTCCTCTCTCTCTCTCTCGCACACGTATTCTTTTTATTTTATTTTATTTTCATTTCATAATTTATATATCATTTAGCTCCATCGTTCCTTTTTATTTAAATATTTTTTCCAGGTATAATTATGATATTGTGAAGGACGTGCCATTGGAAGGTCGTTACGAGTGGGTTCAGTTGAAGCCATGAAAATGTGAAACCTGCTTTGGCTCTTCTTTATCTCTCCACCGATGAAAAAAGACACCCATCGATTTGAACATGCCATTTTGTTGACTTTATTCTTAAGTTTAGTTTAGGTATTTTATTTCAATCTTATCTTTTACGCCAGCCAAGACTCTTTTATCTGGTGTACAGCTTTTATATTTCGTGTGGTTAAGGTGAACAGGAATTTAGCTTCGTTTGTTCTTTGTACGGGTTATACGGAGAAGAAACTTAAAGCTTCTTGTGCAGAATTCTGTAAATTCCCTTGGAAGAACAAACGATTCCATTACAGTTTTATCTCTCTTGTTTTCTCTCTAAGCTTCCCTAAATTCCGTGTCCCTTTCTTTGTTTTTAGTTTGCTTTTAAAGAGAGTACACCAAAGTCACTGATTGTATATCATCTTTCTCTTTGCTTTATTTATTTATTTATTTATTTTTCTAATTTTTGAAATTTCACACATTATTGTAAAATAATTAAAAGAATAAACTAAAAGAATAGAAGGAAGAAGATTACCCAACATACAGCGAATATGCAGAAGTGAAAGAGCTGGGCAGTAGCTAGTAGGAAGAGGGGAAGGGGATGGTTTTGTTTAATTGTTGGGCGTGGGAGGGGCAGGGACACGCATCATGCCGTGCAAGTTACGGGCACGTGTTTGAGAAGGTAAGAAAGCTGATCTTATTATCCCCCCCCCCCCCCCCCCCATGTGAGAAGAGTCTTCCAATCTTGGAACAAAATCCACTCCACTTTCACAAGTACAACAAAATAGGTACCGGAGCAAAAATTCGAATGTTGTTATTGTTATTTCCGCGCACACCACTTTTTCGCTTCTTCTTATCTAATAAACACGCAAATACATACAACGGAATGCATTTGGTTTTGATAAAAATTCAAATGCAGAAACAGTTATTTTGTCGAATCCGTTTTTTTATATAGAAAGAGAGTCAACCGTGCATTATTAGCTGGGTTGTTTTGTTTAATCACAATAATTTATTGGAAAGGGATAGAAAATGGGAAGAGGAGGTAGAAATGGGGAGTTATCAAGATGAGATAGAGGAGAAGAGTGGTTTGGTATATAGTCATAGAGATGTGGTCCTGCTCCTGCACAGAAAGAGCATAGCCAGATTGGAACGTAGAGATCGAAGCTAGCTAGTGTGGCCTTATTCGGCCGTCGTTTTGGTTTTACAATTTAAAATTATTTTGCCATGTAACGCGGGAGGAACGTGTTTGTCACGTCGTACAAGCTAGGCGGCTTATTAAGGGTACATGGTGAGAGGATGGAGATTCGCTGCAGCGTGTGGATATTTCATGATGTGGCTGAGCTACTGCTATTTTCCGTTATGATATAATCATTGCATTGCGAATCAGAGAATATGATTCGGGTGCGATATCAGAATATCAGATATCCATCGCCAGAAGGATCTTGGAAACTTTTCAATTTCTAAGGACTTTTACCTCCCTTTTTACCCCTAGTAACATGCGCACATATAGATATATGTTGTGTATGTTTCTCCTTCTCCCAAATAAAGAAAGAAAGGAAACACACTTAATTAGAAGGCAATGTAAATAAAAGCACGTTCAAGTTTCAGTGGGATATGAACATCGGGCTGTGTGGCACTTTTTTATTTATCATTTTGTTAGGTCACAAGTGTTGCCCCGTGCGTGTCATTCAGAGCATAATTATATTCCCATCACATATATTTTTAAATCCCGAAACCATTGTCACTAACTAGGAATAGGTAAGACAAGAAAACAAGAAACCCAATTCAAATTAATGCTAGATAAATTCCATCTTTCTAATTATCAAGTAGGGGCCCCCGGATATTCTTTTGTATGACCCATGTCACGACAAGTTGATGATGCAAAAATGTTATTCACAGATGCAATAGTATTGTATATCCACGCCTCTTCTTTGTCCTTCCCCCTCCTGTCCGCGTTAACCAATAATTAACACCACAATTTGCAACCTTAGGTACAACGTACGTAAAACCGGTCGAGATTCACATCCAAAAATCAGTACTTATTTTCTTTTTGAATGCTTCATCGCCACTAATTATTTTATTTTGTCTTGGAGTCTTTATTGTGACCGAGAAATAGGCACCATATGATAATTATCTTGACAACATCCCTTGTTAGTTGATATAATATTTGGTGCATGTCACAAATGTGGGCATAACATAGCGGTCAGCAGTAGGCGAGACTGAGATACTGATATTATTATTAATGAAATTAAAAATGGGAGGTAACATAGGATCCTATATATAAATACATAGGAGACAATGCCATATGGGTTAACATTATGTTTGTGTCCCTATAATAAGAGATATATAATAATATATATGTTGTGCATAAGAAATATCGAACAACAGAGGGAAAGTACGATCTAAAAATGCAAAATGTGATTTAAAACGGTAATCCGTAGCTAAAACGAAGATTGAAGGTACAAGAGGAAGTGGAAGCTTGAAATGGGCATCTCCAGAAAAGGGAAGCAACAGTAAAATCCACACAACGCCGGATCATAAAGAAGAGAGAGATGAGTTAGGCTTGCGGGCCCTATCATTGAATTGTACGGTGATTTGATGTATCAACGGTTGACAGCGAAACGTTCTAAAATGGTGTAATGCGTGTCAGAGACTAAGGTAAGAAAAAGAGTAGGAGCAGTTTCTGTTTTGGGTTGGGGGCGGTTATAGGCTGAAAGTAAGGACTATGGTGAATGAATCATGAATGGAAGAAGAAGATGATGATGAAGAAAGGGTAAGCATTATTGTTGTGGCAGTTGAGTAGTGTTTGAGTGAGTGATGACAGTGGAGCAACGACGGTGCCATATTTAAGAAGGAACTGCCAATGGGCACAAACATCTACACTATATACAGAACAGAGTGGCGTCACTTAGGTACGGTACCATTCTTCTTGGATCTTGTGCCCTATTCTTTCACTTATCACTTCTTTTCATGCTACTTTGGTCCCTCCCTCCTTACCCACGTGGAATTTTGACTCACCAAGTGTTCGTTGTTCCTCCAAATTATTCCTTACCCTTCACCCTGTCAATCTCTATTCTCTAGTCCTTAATTATTTTTAGCTACCCGATAACAGTAACTCTACTTCACATTCACCAAGTTTTCTTTCACTCATTTGCAATCTATGTCACAATATTTGCTTCTGGAATTCATAATTATTTGACTTCCAGTTTCTGATTAATTATTAGTTAGGTGGTTAGTTTACTAATTATTTTTATTAGTTGCATAGATTTGATAATTAATTAAATGTTATATGAGCGGTGGTGTAAGTAGACGTATCTTAGCGCAGTATCTGTCTGCTTAGGTATGCATGTAATTTTTGTGCGAATTTATTGAAATTTTGAATCGCATTTTATTTTATATGACGACTGATTTCTTAAATTTATTATGAGTTTTAAGTTACCCGGAAAAAACGAAGATTAGGAGTTCTTGAAGTACACACGTTGTTTTTTCTTCATCGTACAATGTTTCAATAAGTAATTAGATTTTAAATATCGTATGCTATTTTTTTATGTGAAGTAGTTTAGATGAAAAGCAAAGGCAAAATATATACAGAAGAATGAGGGAGAATATGAAAATTTCCCGTTTTAGAAAAGAAATTTTCAACATAAATTTTAAAATTTATATTCATTTTAAAATCAATTTTTATTATTTTATTTTCTTTAATGAGTAAACACCATTTAGGTTTTTGCTCCAAAAAAAGACACCCACACCATATTTATTTATTTATTTAGTTATGGTTTGAGCACGATAGGACATTTGATTTTTAATCTCCAAATTAAATTACACCCACTTTCTTCCATGATTTTTGAATCCAATGCATGTTATTCCTAGACAGGATTTGGTTATAGTCATTCTGTAGCTTATGTTCGATGTCTTTTAGTGGGTCTATAGTTAGCATTTTTCTTTTGAAAACATTACCAAAAATGTTAGCATTAAAAAGTGACGATTCTTCGTTAACATTCTTCAAGCTAGATATGACATTGTTGAGGTTTCTTCACTAATCCTTCGTTAGAACATTTAAGTAATCCTTGGGCTGCGAATGTGAGGCGACCCATATATACGAGTACAGTGGGTTACAATGAGAATTCACAATGCTTCAATGCTCAGTTTAGGGGAAATCACACATCAACGAAGGTTAGCTACACCTCCATTAAGTTCCTTGAAAAGAGCTCTAGAACCTCGCGATTTACGGTGCCAAGTAAACTTTGCTCCAATCAAACCAAGGTCAACTGGATCGCAATTCTCTATGACTTTTGCAAAAGCAATTGCCCAAGAATAGGAAAAAATACCCATTTAATTTGCTTTGATAAGAGAAGAGAAACACTAAAGTCTTATATTTAGCATCCGAGGCATAAAGATTTTATTTTCTTCTAAAGTCACTCACAAGTAATTTTAGAAAGTAGTATGAAAGGAAGAGATTGGGCTTGCACACACCCTTGACCACATCCACTGCTTTGCATCAACAAATAGTTAAATACAATTTGGGCATGTCTATCTACAACGTCAAAATTGAATCTAGTTCCTGTCTCTTAAGAACCTAAAATCCATCGGAATTTCGTTATGCTTCCTCAACAATATTAAAACTACAGCCTGATAGGATTAACTTTGTCAAAAAGAATGGGACTTTTTGAAAAATAATAATAATCAAAAAAATTTTACAAGCAACTCTTTGACATGACTATTTCTAACCACGTTAACATGACTTTTTCTAACCACGTTAGTTGTTCTAATATTCCAAGAGAGTATTTGATAACTAACATTCTTCCTGTCACTTCAAAAAACTCAAGAAGAATGTATTATGTACAAGTTTTTTTTTAAGAAAAAAAAAATTGTGGGATAGATTGTAAACTGTTGATTGAGATGTATTTTAATTGGATGAACAATATTGCAGCATAGGAAAATTAACAATATAATTAACTTTGATGAAGGATAATTTTGTAATTCCAAAAGCTCTCTTCATCTCTTTTCCATTGAAGAATCTTATAGTTTGTATTTACTTTTTGAATATCTATGAATTTGTTTAGTATTGTTTTAATTTTTTTTTTATATGCTATATAGCTAAATCCATATTTAGGGTTATGATGAATCCTTTACATAACTTTTTGAGATCCTTATTAATAATAATTATATGTTTTATTTCTTGATCAGTGTTTACCTTATTGAACTGTATTTGTATATTTATAATAGATAACTCTTAAATATACCATAATTAATTATATTATATGTAACTATATCATATATAGTTAATGAATCTATAAGGTAAAACAAAATAAAAGATTAG